CCATTGTTAACCACTGCTGGCTGACAGATGGATTGTACAGCCACCTACACACACCGTAGACAGAGCAATCTTTGTGTATTTGTGAATAACTTCAATTATACTGAGATGGTTCCACAGCCTGACTTGAACCTTAAAATCCTCAACACCGTTTATCTTGAAAAGGACAGCTCACAATTCTGAGAAATGAAACTGGTGGCAAATCTGAAAGCCCACTATTATGTATCAATCGTTGAAAAGGCTGCATTTTCAATATCTCCCCATGTCCTTGCAGTTTGAAGGGCACAGCCATATCATATGCACCAGTCAATCTCTGAAGAGCATACACGCTGAGGACATGCATTTACATTTATATACACGCATTTAGCTGATGCACTTCTCCGCAGAGTGACTCACATTGAGAGCAACAGTGGATTCGGCGCGGCTTTTTAGATTGCTTATGAAGCGGAGCAAAGGTCGCAGACAGAGCATCCTGAAACTACGCGACCTTGGATGATACTGTAAGAGAGAACGTGGGGAAAAATAAGTGGGAGAAATAAGAGATAATAAGAGAGGTCGAATGGATTTTTCTTTTAGAGAAGGATGATACTGAAGCAGGGATATTATCTTTTCTGTCACTAAGTGTGCTCTCACTGGAAATTTGCAGTTCTCTGTGATATTGGAATGGGAGAATATTTCATAAACCACAGCTGCTTCCAGTATTTGGAGAAATTACGAACCTATCCTTTTCAGTTTTGGGAAAATCATTAATCCTGGAGCCTTGCTCTTTGGAGAAAAAGGCTTTAGCAAAACACAGATGCCACCTTGCTATGAAGACATTTTTTTAAGTGAGAAAGCCAGAAATACCAGCAGAATTATACTACATCACTGAGAATAATCAAACTGACATCTTTAAGAGGTCCTATCCGGAGTTGTTAGCTATGAAATGTGTCTGTTGAGGCCCGTCTATTTTAGCTGTGGGATACTATAGGCATATGAACTCATTTCCATACTGAGGAATGTACTTTTGCACGTCTATATTAATGGTTCCAAAAGTACAGACTGGGGACCACCTGGGGCCTTTAAATGGATTCCACAGGGTCTTAAGCAAAATGAGAAGTGGTTTAATTTTGCTCTTATTTCATTGCTTTGCCGAGATGTTACAGCGCTGAGAGAATCCGTAAAAATAAGCAGTGAATTATAGGTTTCATTCCACCTACTGTGGCTATCACCCCAGAAACTGACAGCTTTATGATTCTCAACCAAGACAACAAGCAGAAACAAAAGCTACATTAGAACTCATCTCAGCGAGTTCCCTCCTACTCAGTGTTGTCTAATGCTGTCTGTGGTCTCATGTAGGGATGGGCGATAATTTAATAAACATGCCAGGCCTAATGCAAGTGCACCGAGATACATTTGTATTGAGAGAGCAGAGAGGCTGAAAAGAGGTGGGAGTTATAAAAACTGGTTCTACAGTATGAATCATTTTAGATTTATTTCCTCTCCAAGAAGTCTCAAATAGGACTTTTAAATTAACCTCCTCTATCATCTCTTTTTGAAAGTTCTTAAATCTTTAAAAAGGTTTGTTTATGTGAGTGTCTTGTCGACGGGCACTGCAGTTTTCAGCCAACATCACTCAAACAGGAGGAAATAGAGCATTTGTTGGGAACTATTTTCAGCGGTGGATTAATACACATTTGGTGCTCTAGGAAATATTTGGGGCAGCAGGACTGTGTGTGTGGGACTGAGGCAAAATAAACTACAATGTGTGTGTTCATAGTAATGAAAGAACACACACAATGCAACAGTGTGGTTCACTAATGTGTTTTGGGATGATAATGGAGCTCTCCGGCACAGAGAAAGAACATATATCAGATGTAGGCCTACACACACAATACTTGTTGTAGGATAATTTTCATTGTTGGTGTTGGTCTTTTTGTGGGACCGTATGACTAGCCTTATTCTTTTAATTCTATTTCCCTGTATCAGTTTTTGTTTGTATTTCTATGATAACTTTTTGCATCTCTTGGTTGAATTTATCACCCGTGATTATCTCATCGAAAAAGCGTACTCCTTTGTCATGTTAGCCATTTTCCAAACATGGTCTCACAGAAATCCATTAAATGACCATGACCTCTGAACACCATGTTATGTGGTGGTGGCCGTATTGTGTTAAAATTATGTGCTGTCATCACAAAAACAGTGCCAATGATTAGTCAATTAGGATTCTTTTGTCATGGTGGGCACACAAATTCCCTGGTTCAATGATGTCACTCAGTGTGTGGTGGTTAAAATTATGACCTCATAGGTAGTATAAACACTGTGGTGGCGGATGGGTCAACAAACACTGGACTTTCACCTAGGAGACCTTTGTTCGTGTCCCATGTGAAACAAAAAGTCAACCTGTAATTCTTTTAACCATACACACTACTACCTTTACATAGTTGTGTCATGAAGATCATGTTTTTGGTTAAAACAGCTATGCTTGGTATGTACAGGAAGTATGTTTTAAAGTTATATATGTTACTTTACATCACTTTACATAACAAGTGTATTTATTTTAACCAAAAACACAATCTGAACCTAACCCAGTAGTTTTGGTGCCTTAACCTAACTGTGGCAGACACTACATAATTTCAACACGATTTGCGCCACCACCATGTAATGCAGTGGGTCACGGTCATTTCACTCTTCACGGGGCATTTTTTCCCAGTATTTCAGCATTATCCTATACAGTATCGCCTTTAAGTGAAAATCATGTTGAGATGATCTAATATCTTATTATTGTTGTGCAAACAAAAGAAATGTGCATTTAAAAACTTTAACAAAGAGTTAGTGCAGTTTTTTTCTTATAACTTGCCATGTCCTTCAATGTATTTAGTCTTTTATATTGTATTTTTGTATCTGTATATTGTTACTTGTAATGTTTCTGTTTGCGTTACCTGCCTCGGGACAATAAATGTAAATTAACATTGATGCTAACTCTGCCACGTTTACATCTTGTATTTTATAAAGATGTTCATTAATGTGCTTTGTTCCTATTAAATAAACAGTTAAATAATGAAATAAGTTTTGTCCATATCGGTAGAAAATATTTACTGCATTAACATCTTCTAATTAAAGGGGTATATCTTCATCTCTTCTGTGGCTCAACATCACAGGGATATCTCGTTTTCTGTTTTTAACAAAGCCTGTGTTGCAGACTGAGGGCTCAAAGTTTGAAAGACAGAGACAGAGAGGATCAGACACAAAGAGGCTATTGGTTACATTAGGGAAATGTAGCATCCAGCAGTTCTGGAGTTTGACAAATACAAGGGAAGAAAAGTCAGGATATCTTGGCCTATGCCGCATCGATTTATACCATTCTTTTTTTAAACAGTTTCTCGCAAGTCCCCAAACTATGGAAGTATAGTGTTAAATCACTGGAGTACCCTTTTAATATCGGGATATTGATTTCAGCCACTTCACCCAGCCTTAGGCTTGATATGGAAAAGTTTGGGAGGCCTTACTTAGGCCAGAACTAAAACAGTTTTAGAATATCAGCAAGAAGTAACTGTACTTTTATGCATTTGGTGTGTTTTACAGTTTCTCTTGTCAAATTACATCACTCCCACTTGAGCACAATCTACAACGGACACTCAGCAACATCAAACACTCACGGGCTCTGGCGTTGAATAATATTTCCTTTCTCCTGTCATGATGTCAGCACAGATGTGTACACTTGCACCGCCATTAACCATTAATTGTGTCATTGGAGCTCCGTGTGTGTCATGCACTCAGCCTTTCATTTGCATGCTCTCAGTGTGAGAGTATATCACAGAAATGTCCACATTGTCAGCGTGTCTCGCTTCCATTAAAATGTACAGGATGAGGATGGACAAAGCTGTCAAATGTACTCTGCAGGTGCATGTGAGTGTATGTAATGATTTGAGTTAGGTTCTGACTTCCTCTTCTTCCTCCTCCTCCATGATTTGTTTGACAAGACCTCTCTCCCACCCCGGGTCTCTGGCGGTGGCGGTGGGTGTTAAGTGTAAATCTGTGGCAGCAGCTCCTCCTCTCTCAGGATTTCTTACGGCCACATACAGTACAGCCTCGACAAAGTAGCTGACAGGTAAATGTTGTGCTTACATGGTTCAGAGAATTTGTGAGAAATTGCGCCGTGCGTAGCCGGCATTCTGGGTGACTGATGGAGCAACAATATCACACAAGCACACACACACGCACAGAGGCAGAGAGAGACACACAGGCAGGCAGGAAGGTATTCATTGGTGAGGACAGACTGCATCAGCGCACACACACACACACACACACACACACGTTGGGGAGATGAAGCAAAGCAGAGGTTGAAGGACAAGTCAGATTCAGTTCCAGATTTTATGTATAATGATGTGACAAGAGTAGATTTTGGTTCACACACACACACACACACACACACACACACTCACACACACATAGAGAAAAATGCAACATGTTGCAAAGTCACAGTATGTAAATACACAAAAATTAGCACACGAACACACATTTCCTGAGCATGGTTAGACTGTAGGGCTGCACTACTGCATCCACACTAAAACGTTCAAATGAGACACATTTAAGCACATAAAATGCAACAGAACTGTTTCAAAAGGTGCTGACGTCTCAAGACCCACGTGTGACCTCTGATATCTATTTGCACGTGCACCCTCTTTGCACAGATTTCTTTCTTTTTCTTCGCTCAAATATTGACGCCAGGAAACACGTCCCTGCTGCCGTCCCTGCTGATGAGGGAACGGCCACCAGTCTGATTCATCTACATACAAATTCTCTGCTCTCCTTCCTCACCCCTCTGCTGATCGATCATGCGCCAGGAGTTGAACGCTGCCACACCGCAACTGACCATCCGAACCAGCATTACTGTCTTGTGCGTATAAACGCGGGAGTGGACTGCGCGTAAAACAGTCGCGCCTGGCACGAGAACGCACAGCACCACACTCTTATGTCCCCCCGTTTGTTTTAATTCCCCCAGTATAGACACGCAAACTCACCCAGGGTGTGAACGCAGGTCCTCCCCGTGCGTCTCTTGATGTGTGTCCGCGTATCCAGTAAAAAGAGGTGGGAGAGTGCGAGCGGCAAAGGCGCTAACGAACTAGTGGACGGCAGCCAAACGCCACCGACTTCCCCTTCTCTCTTCTCTTCCTCCTCTTTTCTCTCCTCTCTCTGCTTCACTCACTCTTCCCTTCTCTCCCGGGGCAGGATGAGCAGCGGCTGTAATAATCCAGACATTGTCCTCCTCATCAGCACATTAAATAAGAAAACACAGGTGGGATGGACAGACTCGCGTCACACAACACAAGTTTGGAGTTTAGAGGAATTCTCCTTTCTGGTTTGGTGATGCTGTCCGGTGTAATCCGCGTTTGGAAACAGTCTGAGTGAACAGTCCACGGTTTTACAAAGCTCCTTCAGATCTGAGTCCAACCTGGAGTTGAACTGTGGCTGCAGGCGCTGCAAAAGCTGAGAAAGTTTGCTTTGAGAGTGACTGAAACACAGATGAGACCGGGCGAGGAAAAAAGGAGAAATAATCCCAGGCAGATATCTTCTTCTCTCACTTCCTCCTCCGGACCAAAGAACTCTCCCTTCAGAGGGATTTAGCGCACCTGCGGCCGGACCGGAGACGCGCAGGTATCCACAAACTGTGCACCCTCCTACCCTCTCTCTCTCTGTCTGTGTGTTTTATTCCGCGTTTTTATTCCCGGTCTGCCGAGTCTCTCCGCGCCACGGTCATCACTCAGTGTCAAGGCTGGTGTTGTTTCTCCCAAGTAGCTCAGGAAAGCGTCTCTTTTCACCAGCGCTCTCCTCTCCTCTCCTATTCTCTCCCCTCTCTCTCTCTCTCTCTCTCTCCTCAACAAGCACCGTCCATCCTCCTGTTGTGAAACCACACCTCCCTCGGCAGCGATTGGCTGGAAACCGCAGAGAAGGAGGAGGAGAGGGAAGGAGGTGAGCGCCGCGATGATGCGCGCTGAGGAGAGGAGGAGGAGAGAGAGAGGGATGGAGAGAGTGGACAGAGGAAGATAAACCTAGATGAGACAGAGGAGAGGATGGAGAGGGAGATGAGAGGAGTGGGATGAAAGAGAAGTGAAAGAGGAGGGAGAGTGTGCCAGGGAAGGAGGATACAGGAGGCAGAGAAACAGTGAGGGTGTGTATGAGTGCGTGTTTGTGCGTGTTTGTGTGTGTATGGGTGTGTAAGGGGGGCAATTCATGCACTGAGCTCTATGTGTTTAAGCCCAAAGGGACAGGCTGGCTAATGAAAGTGAAAATGCTTCTCTCTTTTTTTTTGTACCCTCTCATTCACTCCCAGTGCTTTAGCCAAATTTGTCCACCGCAAATCTGCTTTGACTCCCGGCAAAACTGAATTCATACTGACAATGTCCCCAATTACTGGGCAGAGTCATACGCTTCTGTCTGTCTGTCTCCTTCTCTTTATAAAATCTGGTGTGTGTCAGTTAAGCAGCTGCCTTGGTGAGTCTGTGATGAATAAGTAAGTGGTTGAAGGGAGGCTGGAGAGTGGAGTGCATGTTGAATATGCTGCCCAGGGGCGTCGGGAGGGAAATAAGTAACAGCCTGTAATGGGAGCAAATGAGGTGGGCCGGATATTGCGATTGTTGTGGCGCAACCGCACATGTTAGCGGGAGGCGGCAGACAAAAAAAAAAATCGCTTGACAGCTCCTGGGAGAGGCTTTGATTGATGGCGACGCTCCGGGGAGTGTTTCAATATGAACTTGGTTAACTCGGAGCCACATGAAGCATTCATCACTAGCTGCCATGCAAGAGTGAGATGCTCACCGCAAGCTAGGCAGCATTTTATTTAGAAAGGCACCTGGGGAGCATCCTCACAGGCGCAGCAGCTACCTATTTGCAGCTATTTTAAGGCTCACATCACCAAATCTCCAACACTACCTCAAATCAGAGTATCAACAACCTGACTGCTGCCAGTCGCTCTTTAAGATTCAAGGATCCAAGGGCAGAGGGTGTCCTATGTTGTATACATTGCCAAATGAGACAAATCTTTAATCTTGCAATTTATAAACAAAAAATGTCACTTGACTTCTAAAAGGATTTAAACTGGAGAGTGGCAATATATCATATATACATATATATATCATATATACTTAATGTATCACGGCTTGTTCCATGTGGAATATATAAAATTACTTTATCACAAACATCGAGTAAAAATGTTCACCTCATTTTTGATGCCACCTGCATGAAACTTATGTGTTTCGATTCTCTCACTCTCCCCTGTGGCTTTCTCCCTCTTGCAGACACACACACACACACGCACACACACGCACACAAAGAAAGACCTTACAAACATGACACATTACACACACTCCTCCACCCATCCAGATCACTTTCTCCTGGGCCAAAGCACATGAGCAAGTGAGACATGTTTTTGTATCTGCAGGGCTCCAGACTGCTATTATTTAGTAGCTTTTTGCAACCCTGGAGCACCACTGTGACCTGCTAATATTATTAATATATGGACTGGAGAGTTGTTAGTTTGTTTCCAGTTTACAGTGAATAGATCTTCATGCTTAACAGCCCCGCTGTAACATTTAACAATAGCATAAGCAGAGAAAGCGTGTATGTTTGTACCTGCAGGGCTCCAGACTGTAACTACTGAGTCACATTTTTGGACCACGGAGCACCACTGCAACTTACAAATACTATCCATTTATGAAGTGGAGAGCTGTCAGTGTGTTTCCAGCTCACCGAATAAATCCTCATATTTAAAGGTGCAGTGGCAACATTTTAACTTTGTACTAACTGCAAACATCTGGCTGATGACCAGAACCTTTACGGTCACATCAACATTTCTGGTCCGATCCAAGCCAGGTACTTCAAGATAAAAACACCAGTGGTTCCATGATTTATTTATTTATGATAATACTTAATTCAGCTTTATCATAACATTATTTTATCTAACTTTATTATAACAGTACTTTATTTAACTTTATTCTAACAGTACTTTGTTTAACTTTATCATGACACCAGCCACTGTACTTCCTACAGTACAGTAGAGGAGCTTTCAAAATATGTCACAATTCAACCTTAAAATATTTCTAAATTTTTTCTAAGTCATATTGGTCATCCCTAATCTTGACCTTTATATTGACAATATTTACATCAATATGTCAATATGTCATATTATTACGTACCCCATGTACCCCAGATAATGATCGTTATTAGTTTTGGGGTAATAGTAGATGCTAGCTGGTAAACATTCTCTATACTGCAACACCATGTGTGCATTATGAGACAATAGGCCCCTGGGCACAGATATGCAAGGACCCACCACCTCTCCTACAAATGAGCAAGGCAAACAGTTTGTGGTCAGTTTGCCTCTTTTTTGTTGTTGATGTTGTTGTTCTTTTACATTTCTTTGTAGTTGTTATGTGTTTGTTATGTGAGGTATTTTGTGCCTTTTTTGATTGTTTTGTGTCTCTTTGTAGTTATTTTGTCCCTTTTTGCAGTTCCTTTGCATCTCTTTGTGGTCTTTTGTGTCTCTTAGTAGTCTTTTTGAGTTTCTTCCTGGTTGGTATGTTTTAATATGAGTGACAATTTGCAGGTGAACGCCAAAGGGGCCCCCAGACACAGTGCCCTGGGCCTGTACCTTGTAGGTCTGTTCAGTAATCCATCCATGCATAACCCATATCACAATCACGATTAGTTGAAGGGAAGTGTCTGTATTTTTCAACCTGTACCCTATTTTCTCATGTTTTTGTGTCTAAGTGATTAATGGGGACAACAATTTTTGAAATTGGTCCAGAAATTGAGAGAGAGCGCTGCAGCTGCACAACAGGAAGCAATGGAATCCCAACGGGCAGCTGTGCACCATCAATGTATGTCCACTAAAAGTGCTTGTTTCTGCCTCTGACAAGAACAGATTATTATTCTAAGTGTCTGACAACATTATGAAAAGTATCCCTACAGACAACTGAAACATCTTCCTTTACCTTTCACTTGATCCAGTCTGTTTGTTATTGTGTCTAACCAAGTCTCGCTCAACTACGCCCCCCTTATTATCAACGGGTCCTTGCTGGAGAGGGTGGACAGTTTCAAGTGTCCATATCACAGAAGGCCTGACCTGGGCACTGCATACTGACTCAGTGGTGAGGAAGAGAAGGCAGAGACTGGGTATCCCCTCAAATACTGAGGAATTTCTCCTACTGCACCATAAAGAGTGTCCTGACGGGAAGCATCACTGTCTGGTATGGAAACAGCACCCAAAGGGCCCTGCAAAGAGTGGTTCATTCAGCTGAACTTATAAAAGGCGTTGCTCTGTCTAAAGGATATTTACACCAGGTGCTGTAAGAATGGCCAGTAGCAATTATTTAAGATCCCAGCCACCCAAATAACTGCTTTTTCTGCATGACAAAATCAGGAAGATGGTACCTGTTACACCAGGCCAGCACTGAGAGGCTCAGGAAGAGCTTCTTCCCTCAGGCCATAAGGATCCTAAATGCCCAAGAACTGCCCATTGTCATATTCATTATTATCGTCTTTGTTAATGCACCAACTGAAGGATTGATTGGGATTCCATTTCATTGGAATTGTGTCTGATGTGATTTAATGTGAGAAATGAACTGATTGATTGATTGATTGATTGATTGAAGTCTAATTTTGAAGTCTTGCATTTTCGCCAGTGTCTTCCTGCAACAACTCAACTCTTGCGTTCTCGCTCAACACTAGACTGATTGTTCTTCCCATTAGTCACCAAAATTAGTACAGTACAAAACACAATCCAGAGTGCCCAGAGAGAACCCTTGCTGACACGGGGAGAACATGCAGACTCTGCGCAGAAGGGCTCCCACGCCCAGGATTGAACCGGCAACCCTCTTGCTGTGAGGCGAGAGTGCTAACCACCACACCACCGTGCTGCCCCCTTCCCCCAATTCAATTTACTATTAATGCAAACTTCACAATCTTTCACTTTGACATTTTTTTTTTGTTTTTTTTTTTAAATTCACTGTTTAGCTACCATCAATGAAACCAGCTCCTTCCTGCACAGATGTCTCACATTAAAAGCTTTCCAGCAGCTCAAAGGGCATAATCCCTCCAAAGTAAAGTAGAAGGGATTGGAAATAATTAGTGGATGAAAACCATACATCTTTTTAGAAGAAAATCTGCAGATTGGTTCATATAATAATAATTTGTGCTATGGAAATCTACATTAAATTCAAGTGCAGGTAGCGTACAGATAACTCCTAAATCCTACCCCCTTTAACTAGCAACTATATCCATTTCCACTTAAAAGAAACCGAGTCTAACACACTCCCTAAACAGTACATCATCTCATTCTTATTTAGCAAGGAAGTGTGTTTAAGTTTCCACACTAATTTCTCAAACAGTCAAAAAAGACTTGCTTCTCCAGTGAGCAACCTGCAGAAGAGAAGTTAGTTATATATGGACTGACATCACAGGAGGTGTCCAGGCCTGTTTGACAGAGCAATAAATAAATGGACGCCTGCAGCATGCACCCGAAGGTTTGCAGCTTCAGAGGGACGAGGATATTGGATGGAGTCTCAAGCTTGAACGGGATCAGATGTGCAGAGAAAGCAATGTAAATTTAAATTGTGTTTCTGTCAAAACAGTCACAGCTCACAAAAAAAGAGAAGCTATCCAGGCGTTGTTTTTATGTCTATTGACATGTATACAGGTGCACACACACACACACACACACACACACATACACACGCACACACACACACACAGCAGTACTGAGGCAATTTCTGCAAACACATTGTCCATGTTTTGTTTCTACCTCTTATTATTCACATGCAAATATAGATTTGACTGTACAAAC